GTCCTCTGGTTCCGTCTTCAGGAACCAGACTGCTACATGTGCCCTTCAGGAATTTGGAGGTGATTCTGGGGAGGTGGGGGTACCTATTCTCCCTACTACTAGGTTCTTAAACCCCCAGTAGCTATGTCTTTATTTGTCTAGGTCAGTTATTAGTTTCCCAGTTCTGTTTAATCACTTAATATCTATTGTTGTTCAGTCCATTAGCTTTTACAAAAGGAAATTTGCTCTAAAGATGTGTAAATCTGCAAAAACAAATATACAAATGTTTCCTTTAGCATCTTGGGGGTTAGGCTTCTTTAAATTGAAAAAGAGTAAAAGCAGTAAAACATACCAAACAAAAACAACTGCTAATTGTTGGTATGAAGAAAAACCAAAATGTTTGCTATGGGCAACAAGATGCAAAGACTGGAAAAAAGGTAATTTTACTGATGAAATTCACTTTTTCATTCAAAGTTATAGCAAACCTATTGTTAGAAGTCTATGTGAGCCTGTGAGATCCGGGCATCTTCATCAAAATTTGAAACATTTTATATATATGTATGTGTGTGCATGCATACATGCATACTCATATCCAAAATTTTTGTGGTTTTTAAATTTTTACTTTTATTTGGCCTGGAAGTTTTGTCCACATTGAAGGAATGATGAATCTGACAAATATATTGATATATTCACTTAATGACCTCTACCTCCTGAAAGCCCAGTAAGTTAAATTTTCATTTTCCTCTCTAGATTCTACAGTGCCATTAAGAGGACCAGGGGGTATCTAGGCTCTCTGCAAATCGCTCTAGCTCCTATTGGTGGTGTTCCCTCAGTTATGGTAGGATAGTTCCCTGTATCCCAATTCCATTTAGCCACTGACAGCCAAATTATCTTTTACGCAGAAATATTAACTTCTGAAGGTAAAATCATAAATATACAAATACGCTTTGTCATGGAAGGTATAATCTTCCTGTCCCCACCCCCTTGTGCCTCTTCAGTCTCTAGGTGGGGGAAGGGGACTAGATTCATAGTTTAGCTCAGATCACGTAGAGCACAGTCCCAGGTCCAAGCCTTAAACCCATGGCTTCTCGGGACTTCTGCATCAGGCTGGCTGGCTGTACTTCTTGCAATCCTGACTCAAACTCCCAGGTCCCATGGGGATCATCTCCATCACCTGAAAGTGAGGACAAACAATAAAGAAAAGAAACAAATACCCACTAAGCCTACTTCTTGGAGCTGGGATAAAAGGAAGCAAAGGATGAGAAGTCTTTTCTCTTTTACTGGTTGAGTTCGTTGTACCCATACTGTGGATGAATTGTGACTTTCACCCTCTGGAAAAAGCAAATGAGTGGCTGAAATGGGCATAACAGAAAAGAGAGTCACAGAAAATGAGAAGTGACTGTCTTGGCCTCACCAGTTCTTGGTAGGGGATTCAGAGGCCTCCATGGTGGGCAATCATGGATTTGCTCCAATGGCTCCTCTACGGTACCTCTATGTTACCCAAACTGGGCATGCCAACACAAGGCCAGATTATACTAATAAACATAATTGAACCCAAATTACATAAATGCCTAGATGGGGATAAACTACTTCAGGACTACTTTGCAGGATTGGGAGACTGCTGCTGTATGTTACAGGAATTTAACTGGCACTCTTCTATAATATGCAAATCTAAGAAGAGCATGGATTGCATTGAGTCTGCAAGCTAGTCATGATCAAGTTTGAGTAAATCTCCTCAATATTGTTGCATCAGTACTCAGCACCTGACCTTGACAGGAGAGGAGGAGAGATCTCAGAGTCCCCCAACTCCCCCTCACCCCTACTAGAGATTCCATGTGTCAGCTATATTTTCTTCTCCCCTCACTTTCTCTCCTCTCTCTTGTCTTCTTCCAGTGTTCTTTTTGAGTACCTATCTGCTAAGTGTCTAGCCATTCAGATCCTATATCCTCCAGACACTGAGGATCCTATAAACAAAAGATCAGATGAAGCTATGTTTAGATATTGCCAAGGCATCAGAATGTCAGGCAAAAATGGATCTCAAACCCCAACGAACAAGCAGTGATTGTTTACTGCCAAATGAGAGCTAGGGAATTAAAATGAGCATAGTAATACTCCATTCCTATCTCACAATGTGGTTGAGAAGATCAAATAAGATAATATACATTAGGCATTTTATAAATTGTAAAGTGATCTGTGGAGTTCAGCTCTTATTATTAGGTGAGGAAAACAAAATCCAGAGAATGTTAAGAGACCCAGCCACATAGTTAATCTATGGTAGAGACAAAACTAGATTGAGTTTAATGCTCTATCACAGTATCCCTATGTTTTTATTTCATATTTTTAAAAAAGTTTTATTGATTTGTTTTATTTTTCCATTAGAAATGTTTCCAGATGGTTCTGATTCTGTGAGAGCTCTCCTGCAACAAAGTAAAACAATTAAGCAAAACTAACAATATAGTGACCTCATCTGAAAGTGTATGCAATGGTTATATACCTATAGCACTACTTCACCCCCAACCTTTGTATTTTAAAAGTTTTTTTTAATGAACAGAAATGTATTTCTCTCCCTCCAGTTTCCCACTCCATTGGTAAAAAAAAAAAAAGAGAAAAGAATAAGACATTGCTTGTACCACATATGCATAGTTAAGCAAAACAATTTCTCTCATTGGTTGTATATAGATGGCCCCAGAGGATCCTAAAGCATCAAAATGAAATGGTTAATATCTGAGATTTTGCAACATCCTTACTGATTTAAGATAAATTTTTACAGTCTTTAAAAAGGACTAGGATCAAATGGGTAAAAATAAGATGAAACAAAGCTATTTTAATTGTTGAAGAAGAGTTACACTCATGCTTTGCTGGTGGAATTGCAAATTTAGATCTTTTTGGAAAGTGATTTGGAAAGTAACAAATAGAGTTACAAAATAATTATGCCCTTTGGTCTCAGAATTTCATTATTGGGGATATGCCGTAAAAGCATTATTATTTGAAAATTTTGTTTAACCAAATGAATAATTAAAAAAAAAAGAAAAAGCCTTCAATAATAAATATGCTTAGTACAGAAAAAAATACTTTCTTCTTTTGCTCATGTCCAAAAATGTATGTCTCATCCTGTTAGTCCATCGCCTGTCTGGCAGAAGGTAGGCTGAGGTATTTCTTCTTCAGTCTTCTGCACTCAGGGTTTATTACTTTCCTAGTTGTTTTCCTCTATAATGTTGTTGTCATTATATAAATTGTTCTCCTAATTCTGCTTATTTCATTCTGTATTGTGTTTTAAAGAAATCTTCCCAGTTCCCTTTGAAATTATTCATTTCATAATTTAGCAAAATACTCTTTCATTGCATTCATGTACCACAATTTGTTTAGCAAGTATGATTACAGCTGCTCCAAATATTTTTGCATATATTTTTCTTTGCTCCTTTGGGGGTATAGGTTTAGTAGTGATATATCTGTGGTAAACGATACATACAATTTAGTAAGTTTTGGTGGCATAGTTCCAAGTTGCTTTCCAGAATGACTGGACTAATATGTAGCTCTGCCAATAGTACGCTAGTATAGCTAGAAATACATACATACGTACATACATACACACATACATACATAACACACATATAAGCATATTAAAGCTATCTATACAAAGATTTTCACAGGAGCATCATAAAAAAATCACCAAAAAATTGGAAATCACCTAAATGTACTAACAATAGGAAAATAAATGGTAGTCTATTGATACAATACTATGAAGCAATTAAGACTAATAGATAGAAGTTATACAACATAATCTCAGAAGATGTGCATGTAATAATGTGAATTTATCATCTGCATGTAATGTAGGGGAAAAAAAGAACCAAGAAGAATTAACTATGACCACCAAAGAGGAAAAGTGAATATAGAATAATGGACAAAAGAGTTTTGATGAAGAATTAGAGGGAGTAATTTAAAATTGTTAGGGCATTTTATACATTAAAATTAATTTAAATATAGCTCATTATGAAGCAAGTTTAGTTGGTTGCAATATGTCAATACATTAATTGTTAGTCTTTTAGTGAAACATTTTTTAAAGGAATAAGAGGCAATATGAAAAAGCTCTGTACATTGATGGTGTCAAACTCGTAAGAAATGAGGCCATTGAAATAAGCACAAGGATCACAGTGGATTGCATATTGACTTAGAAAAACCATGTGTTAACATTATCTATTTGTATTATATTTTTAATATTTTTAAAATATTTTCCAATTACATTTTAATCTGGTTCAGACCAAACTTGGGAGTAGGCCCCTGTTTGACTCCTCTGCTATCATTTAGGCCAGAGGTGTCAAATATAGGACACGAAGCCCACAACACTCCAGAGTGCAATCTACACTAGATTAAAATGTAATTAGAAAATATTTAACAAAATAACATAATAGAACATAGATAATGTTAATATGTGGTTTTCTAAGTTAATATGTGGCCCACAGAGATCCTTATGTGTGGTTTAGAGGCCCCAGTTTCTATTTGAATTTGACACCACTGACTCAGGCAACTTAGCTCAGAGAACCTTGTGTGTGCAGAGCATTATACAAGAGTGATTGGAAATGATACATAGGAAAAAGAAGTCATCTTTGGTACTGCCCTTAGGAAGTTATAAACTAATGTTTCTTCTGATGTCTTAAGAAGCAGGACTAATTATGTGTAAATTAACAAGTGTTTGCCAAGATGAGCATGAAGGCCATTTTTGAATTTAGAAAGAAGTACATCTTTATTTAATTCCAGAGTTTAATGTGTGCTAAGATACGCTTAAGTTTCACAAGTCTTTGGCACATTTCTTCATGGTTCTGGCTTTATGCCTGGTTCTGAGTTTCCTGTTCGTATTTCCCAAAATATGTCATTCCTGAGGGATTCAAGTCTGAACAGGCTCTGAGTAACTATAAGGGTACTAGCAAAAGACCACTTTCTCCTTAATTTCAGCCTTGAAGCAGCCTCTGGACCATTTGACAAGAAAGAGGTTGTTTAATAAGTTAATAATATCCTTTTAGGCTTTAGAACCAAATAGAAAGATTTTTAGAAAAAAATCACTTGCAACAGTAACCAAAGTTGTACCAGTTCTCCTCTTTTGATCTTTGCTATATGCCTTGTCTTTCGACATCAGCTTCAAGTCAACAGTTTTCATTCTGAGGAAATCCAAGAGGGCTGTCTTCCAGATTGAAAAGCTGGGATAAGTCTGAAGAGCTCCTAATTCTACAGTGATCAAGGAAAGTAGGGTAAGATAACTCTTTGTACATGCAAGATTTTGGGTGAAATTTTTTTCTCTTTCTCATGACTTTATTTTACCTATTTTTTCAATAAGTTCTACTTAGACAGATGTTTGCAAGATGCCTATCAAAAAGAGAGCCCTGAAAGTCATTCCATGGAAACTGGCTTCTAGGGTTAGTTAGTTTGAGGTTGTTCGTCTTTATGAATGAGGAACTAAAGGGAAAATTCAAATCTATATGTATATGTTTGTGTCATATTCAGAGAAAGATGTATGAGGATAAAAGGACCATAGATTTAGGTGTGGAAGAGACCTCAGAAATCTCTCTGCCCCTCTTCCTTTATACAGTTGAGGAAACTGAGGTCCAGGGAAGCTAAATGATTTGCCCAAGGTCAAAAAGGGACTGAGTCACAGGCAGAATTTGAATTCAAGTCCTCTAGCTATAGAACCAGTGTTCTTTCCACTATACCTGTTGATATCTATTCATGCATCAGGTAATATGCAAAATAGTATTATAAATTATGCAAGAAACAGATTGTCTCAGTTGTGGTAGTGATGCCATCACTAGCCCTCTCTCTTTCTTCGTCTATCTTTTTGTCTACCTGGAATCAGGCAGACTTATCTTTATGAGCTCAAATCTGGCCTCAACACTACTATATAACCCTGAGCAAGTCACTTAACCCTGTTTGTCTCAGTTTCCTCATCTGTAAAATGAGCTGGAGAAAGAAATGGCAAACCATTCCAGTAACTTTGCCAAGAAAACCCCCAAATGGGGTCACAAAATGTCAGACACAACTGAAAAATGACTGAACAACAAAAAGTCTTAGTGTAGTTAATGAGTGCACTTTTAAGCTAAGTGAAATTTTAAGCTAGTAAAGCTTAAAATTACACTAAGACTTTTCTAAGTTGTATATCTATATTGATATAGAATTATGTAGATATGGACACTAAATTTATATATCTATGTATATATATATGTGTATATATATGTGGTGTATGTATGTGTGTGTGTATATATATACACACATATATATGTATGTGTATATATATGTGTGTATATATATATATATATACACATATATATGTATGTATGTGTATGTATATGTCTGTGTGTATATATATATATATGTATATTTATGACTGTAACTTCTAGGAAATTACCAGTATATAAACTCCCCCTATGATAGAGATTGACAACTTGTGAGTAAACTATAGTCTTACTTTCACAGGAATTTCATGGTGACTTCTTAGACTCCATGGGTTTGTCCTCATGCTTTCCATTACTTCCCAAAGTCCTTGAAGTCTTACCGATTTCCCTGCTAGAACTCAACTATCACCTGGCCTTTCCATCTGCCATGAACTGAGCTGTCCTTTATGTGTTGTCTCTCTCAATCAAAATATTAGCTCTTTGAGATTATGGATTGTCTTACTTTTCTGTCTCAATCCTCATGCTTAGTATAGTACTTTGCACATAGTAAAGTTTAATAAAAGCTCTTCCATTCCTTTCAATGAAACAGAGATTTGAAGAGGAAGAGGTAGAGGTAAGAAAGGTGGGTATTCTAGGCATGGAGGTAGAAGTGTTGTGGATGAGGCACAGTAAAGGGGGCCAGTTTAGCTGAACTGTGGAGTGAGAGGAAAGAACAGTAAAATGTAGCTGGACAGATAGATTGGAGTCAGATTGTGAAGGGCTTTAAATGCCAAAAGGAAGAGTTTATACTTAATGCTATAGGCAGTAGAGGCCATTGGAATTTCTCAAGTAGGTGAGTGACATGGTCAGACCTGCACTGTAGAAAATCACTATGGCAGCTATATGGAGGATGACAGAAGGGACTTGAGGCAGGAAGGCCCAAATCAAGGTACTATTGCAAAGTCTAGGTAAAAAAAAATCTCTGAATTAGGGTGGTAGCTATGTGAAGAGAGAGAAAAGGTAGGGTATGAAAGATGTCATGACAAGATTTGGCAATAGATTGGATTTGTGGGGTATGAAAAAGTGATAAATCAAGGATGATAATGAGCTTGTGAACCCAGGAGACTGGAAAGATGGTGGTGTCCTTGATCAAGCATTTTGGGGGCTAGGTAGAGAGGAATAATGAGTTTTGTTGTGAGGTAGCTAGCTATGAACTAAATCTAATGCTGGAATCAAAGTCAGGAAGGCCTTAGTTCAAATCCTGCCTCAGATTCTTACTAGCTTTGTGACCCTGCACAAATCCCTTGAACTTGTCAGACTCAGTTTCCTCTCCTGTAAAATGGAGAGAATAAAGCACCTACCTCACAGCATTGTTTTGAGGATGAAATGAGATAACATGTAAAGTGCTTTGCAAATCTTAAGGTGCTATATAAATATTTGCTATTTTGCACATGTTGAGTTTGAGATATCTATGTAACAAAATGTCTGGTAGGCAGTTCGTGATATAGGACTGGAGCTCAGGAGAGAGAATAGAGCTGGTTATACAGATCTGAGAGTTATCTGCATAGAGAAGATAATTAAGACAATGGAAGCTGATGAGGTCACCAAGTGAGAGAGTATAAAGAAAGAAGAAGGGCCAGGGTGAAACCTTGGGGGATACCCACAGTTAGATGGCATGACGTGGGTGGTGATTCAGCAAAAGACAAAAAAAAAAGAAGTCTGACACACAGAAGAACCAAGACAGAGCATAAATAAAGTAATTTTGGGGAAAAAACCCAACCACCATAAAACGGTTGAATTCGAGTGGACTCCATCAGATGTGTTGGACATGTGGATCCCTGTACCATCAGGCTGTACCATAAGACCATTGTAACCCTTTATAATTCTAAGATTCTACAATTATAAGTAAGCTGCTAAAAGCAATTATTCTCAGTCAACATTGTCAGTGAAAGTAGACAAGGAAATTTGGGAAAGAAATGGTGCAAATAATAGTCAAATAATGGATAATCCAAAAAGAATTTGTATTTGGCTTTCTAAGTTTGTTGGAGACATGAATTCAATTACGTAACTAAATCTATCTAATCTGACCCCTACTTACCATAGGAATGAAGAATAGTTACATAACACAAGCTCATATATACCACTCATTTATTTTCACTGTGCCTGGCACTGACTTTCTTTTGGCTTAGCTTTACTCTGATAAAATTTGGAGGGAAGGACAATTATTAATAATATGTAAACTAGGCAGTCCTGTTAATTTATATCTGGAATTTCTTTTCATTCATTCATTCATTCATTCATTCGTTCATTCTTTCATTCATTCAACACTTCTTGGTCCCTTGTACCTGTGATATTCATGCTAGGTAATGGGAAAGATACAAAGAGAGATTTTTAAATGGTCCCTCCCCTGAAACAATTTACAATATAATAGGGAAAACAGAATATCTATACATACAAAGTTAGGATAATAAGTACTTTAAAAAGTATATAAGGGAGAGATTACTTCCAACTGGTAAAGTGACTCCATAGAGGAGCTGGCATTTAAGCTGAGTCTTGAAGGAGGGTTGGGATATAAATTCATTTCAACTAACATTTATGAAGAAACTAATATATGTGCAAGATATTGCATCTGCTGGAGATACAATAGCAGAAATGAAATAGTCCTTTCCTTCCTTGAATGTCAACAGGTGGAGATAGGGCAGAAATGGGGGGAGCATTCCAGGAATAAGGAACTGTGGAAGCAAAGTGTGCAGAAGAAGAAAAGCCTAGAATGTATCTAAAGCATAGATAACAAGTAGTTCAATTTGGCTGGATCCACTCCTGTATGCTAATAGCAGCATAGTAATATATTACTTTTCTGTTATCACAGAGATAATGAAGTATTACACATAAGTGGATTTTTCAGGTAACTGAAATTTACCCTTTCAAGTATCAAAACTTAAAACAATTTAACATTTTTGGTGAAAAATTTTCTAAAATGCGTTATTCCACTACCTTAGTAAACAGAATATTAAAAGTTACATTATTTATAAACTGAAAAGGGTGGATGAGCGGTAAGGGCTGTCTCCCACCACTATACTGAAACAGTTTTATCCAATGTTATGAATGGCTCCCTAATCATCAAAACCAGTGGCTCCCCCCCCCCCCCATTTCTCATCCTCAACCTCTCTGTAGTGTTTGGCACTGTGGACCACTCATTCATTTTACGCTTTCTTAATTGTCTCTATAATTTATTCTCTGTGGTGGCTATTACAAGCCTCCCCCACCCTTCTCCTCAAGCCTCTATTCTGTCTCATCCAGTCATTTTAGCAAAAAACTTGCTTCATACTTAGAAAATAGAAATCACTCTCCATAAGGTCTCTCTTCTCCCTATTATACATCTCATAAACCCTTAACATCAACCTACTCCATTCTCTGATGAAGAGGTGGCTTTTCTACTTACCATGTTCATCCTCTATATCTCCTACAGAAGATGAATCCTGTATTTTTCTCTCTCTCCATCTCTCTCTTCCTCATCTATCTGACTCTGTGTATTTTACTGTCTCTCTGTCTTTCTGTCTCTGACTTTCTCCTTCTTCTCCTTCTTCTCTCAATCTCTTCTCTCTCCTTCTTTTCTCTCTTTCTCATCTGACTCTGTCTCTGTTTTGTTGTTTCTTTGTCTTTGATTTGGACTTTTTCCTCTCTTCATCTCTTCTCTCTCTCTCTCTGTCTCTCTCTCTCTCTCTTTCTCTCTCTCTCTCTCATTTTCGCTCACTCTGTCTATTGGTTCATTTTCTGCTACCTAAAAACATTCACAGGTTGAATAAAGCCTTTCCTTTACCTAATCCTTACCAAAAACTATTTTTTGTGATCTTCCCACTACTAGTAACCCCCTCAAATTACACTGTATTAACTTTATTTTTTATTTTTACATGTATTTCCCAACAGAATATAAACTTTTTGAGGGCAAGGAATATTTCATTTTTGTCTTTGTATCCCCAACACATAGCAAAGTTCTTGACACTTGCTATTCAGTCCTTCAGTTGTGTCCAACTCTTTGTGACCTCGTGGACTTGTCCATGAGGTTTTCTTGACAAAGATACTGGAGTGGTTTCATATTTCCT